CATTGTTTTGGAGCCTTTTGATGCATCATTCTTGTTCATCTCTAGAGACAAAACTGAGAGAAGAGTGAGAGAGGAGAAAACTTAGCTTTAATTGAGAATTGGCTTGGACTTAGGAGATGTGAAGGTTGATTGCATAATTGAGCTTCTATACCTAAAATTGAAGACCTAAGGTAGGATATTTACCTTCTTGTTTATGAATTCAAGTCATTTCTTGCATGTTTCATGGAGGAATAGGAGCTTAAGGTCAAGAATTAAAGTAAAGTGTTGAATTAAGAGTGGTTACATGCATGCATGTTCACATTATGACATTTTGAAGTCATTTTCATGAAATTCCCACATGCATGTTTCTATTTTGGTTTTAATCCATGAATTAATCATATTCTTGAGCTCAAACTTGCATTTTATCGTGTCTTAGAGCATAAAAGTTCATGGGAACTCATGCATGTATGAGTTTTGCATTGTTCTTCATGTTTTTGAATTTTGAGTTGAAGTTTGTGATTAATTGACATACCTTTGGGCTTGATTTCACAAAATTGATCTTTGAAACATGTCATATTATGGGTTTTAAAGTATTTTCCAAAAAATTAGCCCAAAAGGATCGGATTTGATGTTTGAAAAGTTGAGTTTGTGCTTGGAGGTTCAATCTATAAATTCCAGATTTTGGACCCACGGTCGAGCGTAGGACTTCACGCTCGAGCGTACACTTTGAGTCTTGCACTTCCGCTTGAGCGTGGATAGTCACGCTCGAGCGTGAAATGCGTGTACCTAGAAGTTCATTTGTTTTGCAGTCCACTCGAGCGAGAGAGTTCACGCTCGAGTGAGGACCTGAGTCTCACGCTCGAGCATGGATCGAGCGCCCATCGAGCGTGATTTTTGTGAATCTAGTACTTTTGCTTGAGTTTTCAGTCCGCTCGAGCGGGGAAAGTCATGCTCGAGTGGAGCTCCTTTGTCTACATGTCCGCTCGAACGTAGAATGCCACGCTCGAGCCTGGACCCCTGGTTCAGCAAATTTTGGAAAGTGTTTTGAAGTGCCTCTTTGCATTCTCTTTCCATCGTAGGCATTCCTAGGGCATGTTTAAGGCATCTTAAGGATGATATTGATGTAGAACCACACCGAGTCAACTTAGGGGTTAAGTTATTAAACCCAAGTGTATAACTTAGTGTGTGTTCGTTCTGTAACTGTAGGGTTGGCATCCGAGGACGCGCACTAGCCTATTTGAAACCCAGTGCTCTGTGAGTAACAATGTTGTAAAGATATGTTCAATTATGAATATTTTCTGAATGATCAACTGTTCTGTTTACTGAAACGTTATTGTTTAATGAACGAATGTTTGTCCTATTTGTAAACTGTATTCGTGGCATGCTTAGCAACTTACTGTTACTGTACTGTTACTGCTACTGTCACTGAGATCTTTGTCGGTTCCCAAGTTTGGAACCACTACTGCTACTGTTATGATGGCCATCAACTGACTGTTCAGTCTGTTAAGACCTACTGTATTGTTTTGCTATTGGATGTACCACATATAACTGCTATGGTTAGTAAGTGACTGATATGACTGTTTAATGACTGAAAGGACATTCATTCTTAATCTCTTTACACAATTGTTATTCACTAGGCTTTAGCTCACTATTTATATATATATATATATATATATGTAGGTGTCCAGGCACCGGACCGGAGCTAGGGGCGTCGGGTTAGTTCTCATTTTGTCAAGCCAACCGTTGTGCCTCACTGCGAGGTTCCAAGTCATTTCCAGCCAAGGCTGTTTTAGGGTGTCTCAGTTTCACCCTTCCGTCTCTGTTTTGTAATACTATTTAAGACTTGTACTGTACTATGCTAATTAGGGATTTGGTCCCTAACCTGGATGTTTGTACATATGGTGTATATATGTTTTGCTTATGAATGTGAATATGTTCAGAAAAGCCTTTTTGCATACAGAATGTCACAGCTTATTTGACATCTTTTATTTACCGTTTTGGCTTCCGCCAACACCTTATTCTGTATTACTGTCATTACTGTTAAGAAGGCCTTCAGTAATCACGGATTACTAGCCGGTTACGATGCTTAAACCCATAAGGGCGGGTTTGGGTCGTGACATTTCCCTTACTCTTGAGAAAAAGGGTCAGACTCTGCGACCATGCTAGGTAGCTTTGGCCCTTAGGATTTAAAATGTCAGATGTAGTAGTCATTATGGGAGTCTTCCCTTTAAGTGGCTGAGAAATAGTGATGGATTCAATGGTCAAGTCAACCATGTATAATCTACAACCCTAACCCAAGAATACTACACTAATCCTAAAAATTGGAAAGATAGAATGGGATCAACAAGCAATGTGTAGGGCTGACCACTATGGGATCATAATATAACATTCAGTTTCAAAAAAGGCCAGATAAGACATTAAATGATGAAAGAGGGATCCATCAAGCAAACAGAGACATAAAGAGTGGTATTGTGTAGAACAGATGATCTAATCAAACCATATGAGTCAGCAGAGGACAGCAGACTAGTGGATGGAGCCAAAATAGATAGGGACACTGTCGGATGAACAAAAGAGGTGCTGACTGGTCCTGGTGGGCTTCCGACAGTAGTTAATTAGGCATGGGTGGCCTTTAGCAGGGCCTGGGTGGCCTTCAACAATGGTTGACCAGGCTTGGATGGTTTTCTATGACTGTTGACCAGGCCTGGGAGACTTTCAGCAGTAGTCGACTAGGCTTGGGTGGCCTTCGGTGACTGTTGACTTCAACCTAGGTGACCTCTACTGCTGTCGGGACGGGACCCCTACTCTTACAAGAAGTTGATGAAACTCGATGGGTGTATTGGTGGTGGCTGCGTGGTGGCTATATGGTGGTGTATTGGTTTAGGTTTGCGGCTTTGATATCATGATAGTTTTAGAGAAGAGAAAAAGATGGTGAATAAGTGAGGCCTTCCCTCCTTTTTATATTAGAAATAAAGCATGATTACAGGAGTGCTATAAGGCATGAATTAAGGGCCAGCGCATAACAGCCCACTACATCAATCAAGGAACAAATCAGAATAATATAATTTCCTATTCTAACATATAATATTATATATTGAATATTACTAGCCTACTTTGTGTCATTAACTTCCTTTGGAAATAACCTTGAAACCTTTACATATTCAGTGGTCTGTTTTTCTTACAAGAAAATGAACTATCCAACTCTTATTTGACCCATTTTTAAAAGTTATGTTTTTAACCCTCCTTTTTTAAAAAGTTGTTGGTTACTACATGATCAAATATTTCTACGAAATCTAAGATGTTCTCTCCACTCTCATTTCGATCACCAAAACCATATCCACCATGTATCTGTAAGAATAAGTGGTAGAATAGGAAATAATATTGCATATATTCTATTCTTATTTGATTTTGTTTTCCCTTGATTGATGTAATGGGCGGGCCCATAATTTATGCCTGATGACACTCCTATAATCATGCATTATTATCAATATAAAAGGGGATAAGGTCTCACTCATTCTCTATCTCTTTCTCTTCTCTAAACTTACATGGTATCAGAGCCATGCCATAGCCATCTCTCCTTCTCTGTCACCCATCACCACCAGTTGTCTCCTCTCTCCTTCTTACCATACGACACACCCTTGTAACTCTTCACATCCACCCGGCAACCTCTTCTAGCCTTTTTCTACCCCCGACAGTCTCCACCCAAGCCTCCTAGCCCTTGCTCTCCCCTCAATAACCTTCACCTCGGCCTCCCAATCTTTGCTCTCCTCCTAACACCCTTTATCCAGCCTTTCAATTCCCTCGTCAGGCCCTTCCAGCCACTACTCCTAGGTGGCCGACCAGCCTCCATGCTGGTTTGATCGACTTTGGCAACCTTTATAGGGTAGCTTGGGTTAGTCTCTTTCCTTTAGGGGTCTTCTGGTGATGTAAAATAGTCTAAAAAAAGGTTTATACTGGGTTCTTAATTCTTTATGCTTTCATAGTAACTGTTATGCTTGTTTTTTCACTATCATCTTTTGGATTTATGATTGGCATTGTGTTTGAGGAGTGATTAGTAGAATCTTCATGGTGGATTTGACTAGCGAATCTATTACCTCTCAGCCATCTTAGGGCAAGATTTCTGTTATTCCTTCTACTATGACTTATAACCTCAACCCTAGCCTTAAAATCACCACCTCTCTATTCAATGGTCAGAATTACCTAGCGTGCTCACAGAGTCTGATTATTTTCTTGAAGAGCAGAGGGAAGATGAGATATGTTGATAGAGGGTACAGGCACCCCGAATCACAGACCCTCGTTATGACCAGTGGGAGATCACCAATTCCCTAATTATGAACTGGTTGATACATTCACTACAACAAATTGCACCTTTGGCGACCATTTTTGGCGACTAATCAAATTTTAGTCACCTAAAGTACATTCTTTGGTGACTAAAATTTATATTTGTCGACATTGGTTCAAGATATTGCCACTAAAATATTTTAGTCAATAAATATTGCTTATTGGCGACTAAATTTGAATTTAGTTAGAAAAAACTCAAGTTTCAACGCCTAAAAATTTAATGGGCGACTAAATTTGAATTTAGTTAGAAAAAACTCAAGTTTCAAAGCCTAAAAATTTGATTGGTCGCTGTTAGTCCAAATTTTAGGCCCAAAAAAAAAATTAATTAGTAATATTGGTTTTTCCCGACTAAAATTAAAATTAGTCGCCAAAAAAATTAGTCGCAAATAGTACTTTTGGCGACTAATATTTTCGTCGTTGTTAAGTAAACCTTTGGCTACAAAAAATTTGGTCGGCAAATATAAAGTTTCTACTTTTAGCGACTTACATTTTAGTCGCTGTTAGAGTTGGTTTGGCTACTAAATAATGTAGTCATTATTACTTTAATTTTTGCTGACAAAATTTACATTAGTCGCCAAAGATGTAGTCATTATTACTTTAATTTTTGCTGACAAAATTTACATTAGTCGCCAAAGGTGCCAAAATTATGGTGGGAAAATAAAATGCTATTTGTTGCCCGCCAGGTATTCTCCTCTGTTTAGGAATACAAAACACTTCTCTCTCTCCCACACATCAATCAGCACCACACCTCACCTTACCGCCAGCGCACACCACTGGGAAGCATTCAACGTCACACATCGCCACCGCCACCGCCACCGCCACCGCCACAATACCAGGTTATCTCTGGCTCTCCCTATCAGTCTCGTGCTCTCTCTCGCTTTCTCGCTTGTTGTATCCCCAAATCGACAAACAACGACGCGATGACGAACAATTCATCGTTGATTTGCTCTAGTTCTTCCTCAATCTCTCCACTGTAGGGTTTTGACTTTATTGCGATCTGATCTACTCTGGTTTTATTTTAATTTTAATTTGAGCAGGTGGGTATGACAAAGAAGAGAAAGCAGCTAGGGCTTATGATATGGCTGCACTGAAGTACCGGGGAACATCTACCACTACAAACTTCCCTGTATGCTTTTGTGGTGCACTGAAGATTTTAAGAAAAATCAAATAATATTTCTAATGTTTTTTACTGTCACATATTAAAATGAATTAATACATTTGAAATTGCAGATCAGTAATTACGAAAAGGAACTTGAGGAGATGAAACACATGACCATGCAAGAATTTGTAGCCTCAATTAGAAGGTAACTATGAATCATATATAGCTAGTTGTATTTATCCTCCCCCTCTGTACTTGAAGAAGAGTGACTGAGTGCCATGTATCTTATAATCAATTTTTCTTACCATTTTATTTCACCACATCCATCACAAGCTATGGTTGTTATTTTATTTTTTTATTTTGGTTAAATAATTTCGTCTAAATACGAATCAATCCTCAACAAGATAGATGTAAACAAAAAATAGGTGATGAGAATTCAGTGACATAATATTTTTGATAGCTTTTGCACTTTGTTAATTATAGCTTTACACACTTTAGCTTTAAGCTTTATTCTTTTAGCTTTCACTTTCGGTGGTGGTGGGTTTGGTATCCAATGCACCATTTCTCTCTATATAGAGAGAGTTCATCTCTTTGTAATCACATACAATACAGAAACACATCAATCTTGTATCATCAACAAATCAATCAATAATATACATCAATTCATTTTAACACACTTCAAACTTCCCTGCATGCTTTTGTGGTGCACAGAAGATTTTAAGAAAAATCAAATAATAGTTCTAATGTTTTTTACTGTCACATATTAAAATGAATTAATACATTTGAAATTGTAGATCAATAATTACGAAAAGGAACTTGAGGAGATGAAACACATGACCAGGCAAGAATTTGTAGCCTCAATTAGAAGGTAACTATGAATCATCTAGTCACTAGCTTTCTTCTTCCAGTAATAAATTTCAGGAAAAGTAGTGGATTTTCTAGGGGTGCATCAATGTATCGTGGTAACATAATATTTTTGTTAGCTTTTGCACTGATAATCTTTACTGTCATACTGATTCACTTTGTATTGGTCAAGCATGGTACTAAAAGGCAGCATGTTTTTATAATCTTTATCGTTTTTCTTTTCTTCTTCTACATAATAGACAATTATTCTACTAGACGAAAATTAGTTTGTTTGTTATTAAGTGCAGGACATCTATGATTTCATTTTCTATAAGAACTTCATTTAGAATTTGCCTCCTTTGAATCAAACCTTACTACAATACATAATATATATAGTTGTTCTTAGACCAAAATATATATGTAGTTGTTCCTCTCACTATTCTGCTTTAAGTTCCCAATTCAGAGATCTCTTAAAACTTAATTTATGTTATGTGTTATATTTTTTTCACTGAATTAGATCTCTCTATAAAGTGGTTTGGTGTTTAATTGAGAGAAAGATATTTCTTGGGATCCGTTTCTGAGTTTTCTTGACCTGCGTTGACTTACAGTTCAAAATGGTTTTCAATTAAGCTTTTTAACTATTGGATGCTACTATGCTGGAATTCTTTTCACTCACAGGTTAGCTTTGAATGTTTTGTTTAATGTCCCAATTGATGATTTCTATTGATTTTGATTTGTATGGTTGATATGTTCAATTTGATGAAGTGGGTATCAATTTGTTTCATTGAAATTTTTGTATTTTTGTTTGGAAATTCTAAAAAAATTATTTTTTTAATGGGTTATAGATTTGGAAGTCAGTGGTTTTGTGAAATTTGCTCATTTTGGAGTGGTGGTGGTGATGGAAACTTATGTGGAGTTTTGTTATTATGGGTACCGATTGCAGAGAATTTAAATAAAATAAACAAAACAATGTTTGAGACCCCATTAATCTCCCACAATTTAACTTGCAATGATTTAATCTCCCACAATTAATCTCCCACCAAAAAAAAAAAAAAATAGAGTATCAAACAATGGAAGACTTAGAATACAAAGTATGAAAATAGTCCCTACATGTTAAGTGCTAATGATGTGTTTTTGTTGATCCTTAAAATATCTTTATATTATTTTTTTAATGGGTTATAGATTTGGAAGTCAGTGGTTTTGTGAAATTTGCTCATTTTGGAGTGGTGGTGGTGATGGAAAATTATGTGGAGTTTTGTTATTATGGGTACCGATTGCAAAGAATTTAAATAAAATAAACAGAAAAATGTTTGAGACCCTATTAATCTCCCACAATTTAACTTGCAATCATTTAATCTCTCACAATTAATCTCCCACAATAAAAAAAAAAAAATAGAGTATCAAACAATGGAAGACTTAGAATACAAAGTATGAAAATAGTCCCTACATGTTAAGTGCTAATGATGTGTTTTTGTTGATCCTTAAAATATCTTTATGATGGGAATAAAATTAAAATTGTTGTTGTTGATGTGTTTATAGACTCGTAATAAATGTTTTTTGAATTTGAAATATTTCACCGCTAACTATAAGAATAAAAGTCTTTCTATATTATTTTGTTTTCATTTTCTGCCCTTTTTCCATTATCCCTAGTCGTGGGTCTCTCTGGTTTAGTTGCAAAGATGGAATGAAACAAAAAATCGAAGGAAAATATATTTGGTAAGGATGCTTCATTGCATTGTTTGGTAACGTCTTGTATTTGAAATCCTTTTCCATACTTCATTTTATAGGTTCATCTTTTAACAGGACAATTACCCAACTTACAGGAATGGTTTGATTTTCTTTTATATACTCTTCTTATTTGCTTGATTTGGATCTTCTAACATGTTTTGTAATTATGTAGTTCATGGAAACTGAGTTGATGTCAAAGAGATCACACCGCAGAGAAGTTTAAATTTTAGGCTGAGGTGTCTTGGCTTATAGACATCATTATCAACTTACTTTACAGCAAAAAAGACACCTTCTTTAGGGAGTTAATCTCCAATGCTTCTAATGTAAGTATATTTTTTCTTGGAAATTTCCTTAACAATGTTACATTTATATCTATATTATGTTAGTCATGAATCAGGCTGGTTTCATCTTTTGCTATTGGCCGAGTGATATCAATCCAAGTTGAACTTGGAGCAAATTATAATTGTCATGGGGGAAAACTAAATTTTTCCCAACAAAAAAAATAAAAATTAGGTCTATTGTGTAAATTACATACCTTATATTATGTTGTATTATTATGTGATACCTGGAATTTTATTTTCGTTCATTAGTTGTTGATCACATTAATTGTTCAATCTGTGAAGTCCTAGGCAATTTTCATTGAAGTAGTAGTTTATGTCAATGAAGTTTGTGCAATTCACCCACTGTTGATCAATTTGTCAATGAAGTTTCGTCCCATGTTTCTACATTAATTGTTAAATCTTTGAGTTCTGCATTATAATTGATCATTGTTTTGTAACTTCCATTAATTGTAAAGATTGCCACTTCATTGTGCTTTCTGGCCCTTTCTTTTCCTGATAACCAAACAGCCCTTAAATATAGTAATGGGCAGCTTCTTTGTGCGAAAAATGACTTGTGAGAACTGATGGTATGTAAATAAGACACGTAGAATGGGAGTTAAAATCGAAAATACATTTAACTTAGTTGAAAAAGGGGGTTTGGGTGGCGAAAATGAAAAATAGGGCCCTAACCATTGTTGGAATGTAACATGCAGCTTCTTCATGCCAAAAATGACTTCTGACAACTGATGGTATGTAAATAGGACACGCATTACAACTGCTAGAGGCAATTAATGTAGAAACATGGGACAGAACTGCTAGAGGCAACTCTTAAATCATCAATCAATCAATCAATCATCTTATTTACACATCATGATATGACACTTTATTAAAATATCTAAATTAATTTTTTTTCTCTTATTTATTCTCAAATCATCAATCAATCATCTTATTTACACATCACTGGACATAAAAAGTAGATTTGTATATCATTTTTCTTAGACATTCTTGAAACATCTAATGATAGATGGACACATTTGTTTTAGTAAAAATTTTAGTGAATGTAGGTATTGCTCTCATATTTTTGCCGTGTAAATGCCAATTCTTGATTCACCTCATAACCAACACTACAATAAATTAAGGTTTCAGAGGAGGGAAAAATGCAAATCAGCCACTGAACCACCGTACGAATGTCACAACCAGTTTCCTCACGTCAAATAGGACCTGTGACAATAGATGAAATGTCGTTAGCACGTGTAGGTTGGGAGTTAGAGCCGAAAACGGCTTAAACTTAACCATAAAAGGACGTTAAAGGGGTGAAAATGCAAAATAGCCTTGAACCACCGTACAAACGTCACAACTAGCTTCCTCACGTCAAATAGGACCTATGACAACCGACGGAATGTCATTAGCACGTGTAGGTTGGGAGTTAGAGCTGAAAATGGCTTAAACATAACCGAAAAGGGGCGTTAAGGGGGCGAAAATGCAAAACAGCCCCCGAACCATCGTACGAACGTCACAACCAAGTTTCTCATGTCAAATGGGACCTGTGACAACAGACGGAATGTCATTAGCACGTGCAGGTTGGGAGTTAGAGTCGAAAATGACTTAAGCTTAACTGAAAAAGGGCGTTAAGGAGGCAAAAATGCAAAACAGCCCTCGAATCACCATACGGACGTCATAACTAGTTTTCTCATGTCAAATAGGACCTGTGACAACAGACGAAATGTCATTAGCACGTGTAGGTTGGGAGTTAGAATTGGAAACGACTTAAACTTAACTGAATAAGGGCGTTAAGGGGGCGAAAATGAAAAATAGCCCCGAACCACCGTACCAACGTCACAACCAGCTTCCTCATGTCAAATAGGACCTATGACAACCGACAGAATGTCATTAGCACATGTAGGTTGGGACTTAGAGCCGAAAATGACTTAAAGTTAACCGACAAAGGGCGTTAAGGAGGCAAAAATGCAAAACAGCCCCCGGACCACCGTACGGACATCACAACTAGCTTCCTCACGTCAAATAGGACCTGTGACAATAGACGAAATGTCATTAGCACGTGTAGGTTAGGAGTTAGAATTGGAAACAACTTAAACTTAACCGAAAAAGGGCGTTAGCGAGACAAAAATACAAAATAGCCCTGAACCACCGTACGAACGTCAAAACCGGCTTCCTCACGTCAAATAGGACTCGTGACAACCGACAGAATGTCATTAGCACGTGTAGGTTGGGAGTTAGAGCCAAAAACGGCTTAAACTTAACCAAAAAGGGGCGTTAAGGGGGCAAAAATTCAAAACAGACCCCGAACAACCATGCGGCCCACACGGATTGCTTCTCCATGACAAATAGGAGTTGTGAGAACTGACGGAATGTAATTCAGACCCGTAGGTTGGGAGTTAGAGCCGAATACGCCCTAAACTTAGTCGAAAAATGGCGTTTCAGGGGTGAAAATTCAAAACAGCCCCCGAACCACTGTGTGGCTAACACGGATAGCTTTGACATGACAAATAGGACTTGTGAGAACTAACATAACGTAATTCAGATGCGTAGGTTGGGAGTTAGAGCCGAATATGCCATAAACTTAGTCGAAAAAGGGCATTTTGGGGGTGAAAATTCAAAACAGCCCTTGAACCACCGTATGGCTCACACGGATAGCTTTGCCATGACAAATAGGGCTTGAGAGAACTGACAGAACGTAATTCGGACCCGTAGGTTGGGAGTTAAAGCCGAATATGCCCTAAACTTAGTTAAAAAAGTGCGTTTCGAGGGCGAAAATTGAAAATAACCCCCGAACCGCCGTGTAGCCAACACGAACAGCTTCCCCATGCCAAATATAACTTATGACAACTGATGGAATGTTATTCAGACCCGTAGGTTGGGATTTAGAGACAAATACGCCCAAAACTTAGTCGAAAAAAGGCGTTTTAGGGGCGAAAATTCAAAACAGCCCTTGAACCGCCATATGGCCGACACGAACAGCTTCCCTATCCCAAATATGACTTGTGATAACTGATGGAATGTTATTCGGACCCGTAGGTTGGGATTTAGAGCAAAATACGCCCAAAACTTAGTCGAAAAAGCGCATTTCCGGGACGAAAATTCAAAACAGCCCCCGAACCGCCGTGTGGCCAACACGAACACCTTCCCCATGCCAAATAGGACTTGTGAAAAATGACGGAATGTTATTCGGACCTGTAGGTTGGGATTTAGAGCCAAATACGCCCAAAACTTAGTCGAAAACGGGCGTTTCGGGAGCAAAAATTCAAAACAGCCCTTGATCTACCGTGTGGCCGACACGAACAGTTTCCCCATGCCAAATATGACTTGTGAGAACTGAAAGAATGTTATTCGGACCCGTAGGTTGAGATTTAGAGCCGAATACGCCTAAAACTTAGTCGAAAAAGGGCGTTTCGGGGGCAAAACTTCAAAATAGCCCCCGAACCTCCGTCTAACTCTCACGGGCAGCTTCCCTATTACGAATAGGACTCGTGACAACTGGCGGAATGTATTGTAGATGTATAGTAATGGAAAATTATGGGAAAAATATACAGAAACCAATATGAACTCAGTTTACGCCTTGTTATAAACTTGCTAATTTTTTGAACGTTCACACATGTGTTATATTATGTTTAAGCTGTCATACAAGCATGAAACATGCTCATGGTGTTTCTGAGGCCATATGCGTCATGAGATATCAAGTATTCTTTCTTTGATGAACCATTTATAGGTGTCTCAACATACATTTCTACATATTTAATTTTATGATTGAAATTTATTTTTGTTAATAATGTTATCACATGTTGAAATGTCCATTCTGAAATGGCACTGACATACATTAATAAGCAGCGATGGTTTTATATCCAATCTAATGATTCATGTGCCTTTTGCAAACAAATAATGAGGAAGTTGGTAAAAAGAATATTTTCTATTCACATTGGGCTTTGATATTGGTTTAGCCACAGAATTTGGATATATGTTGCATACAAAAAGAAGAATGTTACATTAGCTTTATGTTAGTAATGAAATATTTAGTAATGCATACATTTTGCATTTAACAATGTCCCTTATAACAAAAGACTTTAGAAAGACTGTAGAATGACTGATAATTGATTCATCATGGAAGGTTGCTTCTCACTTATTTTTATTTGTCACTTGTTGCCAAATTCATTCATGAAGTTAGGCATTTTTTTATCCAATTCTAATTTTTTTTTTCTTTTTTGTAGATGACTTTGATGCGTGGACTTCCAGAGATATTTTGGTGTATGGAGAAGAAATTGTACTTTTGTATGGAAGTAATATAATACTTTTGTCGTCTCCGCCTTTCGTGCAATTAACTATTACTGATACAGAAAACTTTTGGCAGCCAACAGATAATTACTGGCATGGTAGATAGATCACCTTTTGTCGTTGTACAGATATATGATATTTTGTCGTGGTACATAGATGTACTTTTGGCTTGGTACATACATCACCTTTTGTCGTCGTACAGATTACGATGGGAATTTGTACCATGCCAAATGGTCATATCACATGGTATAGTAAATGTAATTTTTGTATATGGAGGGGGTTTACTTTTTGTATGATTCTATATTTTGTATGGAATTATTATTTTAGTTTGGACAATAGTTGCTTTGTATTTACTTGGACAGATAAAGTAATTTATTTTTTGTATACGTATGCAGATTGTGGAATGATTGATAGTTTATGTATCATTTTATTTATATATGTATTACAGGTTGCATGGAATACAGACAGGTTATGGACACATTATAATATTGACAATAAAACATAATATCATGTTTTTGTCGACTAAACGTTTTGTAGAAGAAAAAAAAGGGGAAAAAAAAGAAGCCATTTGGCTATTAGATGTTTTGTAGCCAAAAGAAAATCAAACATTTGGCTACTAAATTTTTTGTAACCAAAAGAAAAACAACCATTTGGCTACTAAATGTTTTGTAGCCAAAAGAAAATCCAACCTTTGACTACTAAAAGTTTTGTAGCCAAAAAAAAGCTGAAGAATAAAAAAAATACTTTTGCCGACTAAAAATTTAGTAGAAAAAAATGTGGGAGTTTAGGTAACTAAATTTTTAGTAGCCAAAAATATGGAAGTTTAGGCGACTAAATTTTTTGTAGCCAAAAGAAATATTATTTGCCGACTAAAATTTTAGTAGCGAAAAAAGATGAACTTTAGGCGACTAAAATTTTAGTAGCCAAAACACTAATATTTTCTTTAGGCGACTAAAAAAATTAGTAGCTAAAAATTTTTCCGCAACTAAATTATTGGTTTTTGGTGACAAAAAAATTGGTCGGCAAAAATGTATTATTTAATTAATTTTCAACCTATTGGCGACTTAATATTTAGTCGGCAAATGCATACATTTCGCGACTAAATTAAGTTTAGTTGCCAATTAGCTTTGCCGACTACTCTTCGGCTACTAATTTTCCGACCAAAAAATTTAGTCGCTCAAGACTATAGGCGACTAAAAAATGACTTTTGGCGACTAAAAATTTAGTCACCAAAAGTGAAAATTCTTGTAGTGATTCTGTGGTACTGGAGATTGGAGAGGGCTATTTATCTATGGACACTGCCCAGAATATTTGGGAGGTCGTAGCTACTACTTACTCCAAGAAGGAGAACGTCTCACAGGCTTTCGAGTAACGTTGCTCCATTAAAAGGTCAGTACAAGGTTAGCTGACAATCCTCCAGTATTTTACCTTCCTTAGTAATGAGTGGAAGCGATTTGATCACCTTCAGGATTATAAGCCTGTATGTCCCACTGATTCTGCTGGTTACCGGAAGTTTGTGGAGCAAAAGCGGTTCTTCAAGTTCTTGGAAGGCTTAAATGTGGAGTATGATCCCGTTCGGAGTAGAGTACTTGGCATGGACATGCTTCCTTCTCACCAGGAAGCCTTTGCTTTTATGCAGAATGAGGAGAGTCGCCGCCTAGCTATGCTTTCTCCTGCCACTATTGATTGCTCTACCTTGGTTTCTAGACCCCCTCGAGATGGTGAGCGTATGACTCGTGGTTCTCGTTCTTCCTCTGAGAAGGATCATCTTTTCTATGACTACTGCTGTAGACCTCGACACACATGAGACACTTATTAGAAGTTGCATGGGACACCTTCTGGTGGTCGAGGACCATCCTGGTACTCGAAGGGGTAGGTCTGGTCATTCTAGAGGCCGAGGAACCAATGCTCAGGCACATCTTTCAGACATGGTTGAGCCACCACCTTCATCTCTAGTTGTCTCACCAGTTACTAATGTTTCGAGGTTATCTGCCTCAAATTTTGAGATTGCTCTTCGCCACTTGCTAGACCATCGAGCCTCCACTTCTGCCATAGGTGCATCCTCTTCTTCCTTTGTCAATTCAGGTAACTTGGCTTCTTTCCCATGTGCATTGCTATCTCATATGACTATGCCATGGATTATTGATTCTGGTGCTTCTGACCATATGATTAGCTCTCCCCTTTAATCCTCACTTAACTTCTGACCCGGTTCTAGAGGTGTGTCACATGGTCTACCTCCAAGCATCCCATTCTCCTTTAGCGGCAATGGATAGAGGAAGATATCAAAGATTAGTAGGGAAGCTTATATACTTATCTCACTCGCACCCAGACATTGCCATTGTCGTAACTGTGGTTAGCTAGTTTATGCATGTGCCTAAAGCTACCCACTTAGAGGAAGTTATGAGAATTCTGAGATACCTGAAATCTTCTCTAGGAAAGGGCCTCTATTTCTCAAAACATGGTTATCTTAGTGTTGAGGCTTTAACTGATGCAGATTGGGCCAGATTAGTCACTAATAGACGAACGACTTCTGGGTATTGCACATTTGTTGGAGGCAACCTAGTCACTTGGCACAGTAAGAAACAAAATGTGGTTGCTAGATCCAGTACAGAGGTAGAATTCAGGGTGATGGCTCAGGGTGTATGCGAATTGTTGTGGATTAGACTATTATTGAGAGACTTAAGGGATTCATCAGACTGATTCCATGAGGCTGTACTGTGACAACAAGGCAGCTATCAACACAGCTCATAATCCAATTCAGCATGACAGAACCAAGCACGTGGAGATTGATAGGCACTTCATCAAGGAAAAGCTCACTAGTGGCATCATATGCACTTCATTTGTGAAGACAAGTGATCAACTGGCGGATGTTCTCACCAAAGGAATAAGGAATAAACCATTTCATGACATTCTCACTAAGCTGGACATGAGAGATATCTTTACACCAGCTTGAGAGAGAGTGTTAGAGTAAGTGTTAGAATAGGAAATAATATTGCATATATTTTATTCTTATTTGATTTTATTTTCCCTTGATTGATGTAATGAGCTGGCCCATAATTTATGTCTAATGGCACTCCTTATCAATATAAAAGGGGATGAGGTCTCAATCATTCCCTATCTCTTTCTCTTCTCTAAACTTACAGTATCCTCTTGTGCACTTGCTTATATTTTCGGACATGACTATTGAAATCTCCACCTATAATTATTCTCTCCTCTACAAATATTTGTTGTATTAACTCATCCAGTTGATCCCCAAATTTCCTTTTAATATGTTTCTCCAATCCTATTTGCGTGCATAGGTGCTAATTATACTCTCCAGTTAGAATTTTAATTAATATCATTATGTAACTTATTCTCATAACTATTACTACCTTATTTTTCAGATGCTTAGCTACACCATTTCTACAATAAATTTTATTGAAGAAAAGCATCAAGAAGATGCTAAAGATACAAAAAGGTCCCCATAAAAATGAGCGCTATCCAATTACGTCATCAAAGAAATCAAAAAAGGCAAACAAATCAAGATCTACATGCCCTAACACCGAACCACACAAGAGTCGTAAAAATCTATCTACTAACCAATATTTCCAGCATACAAAATGTTGTACCGAGTTTTTTCTATTCTGTTTGCTTTCTCAGCTACTCACTTAGTTTCTTGTAAGCATGTTATAGTTTCCTTCTAATCATTGAATCTACTAATTCCATAATTTTATCTGTTAGTGTTCCCTTTTCCAAGTTGCTAATGTGAACCAACAATCCTGGGCTAGTTTCTTTACAGGTGCTCATCCAAGAAAACATAAGGACCTTTTCCTATTTTTCATTGCACTAGGGCACTGATGTAGTGATCCTTGCCTATTTTTCAAAACATGTTGCTTACAGAAAACATCCTAGCCCTCGAATATTCATGGTCATAAGAGATCTTATGGGGAGTTTTCCGTGGTAACTATGGAATTGATCCATCATGTCAAAGGAAAATAAGAGAGAAATAAAATGCTCTGCAGAAGCTTAAATCTTTCTAGAAAAATGTTTCCACGGATAAAACAAATATTAGGGAGAGAAAATGCAGAGTTTAACAAAAGTGTGTACCTTTAACAGGAGAGTCAAACGAACTAGAAGATCTCCTTGGGTTGTTCCACAGTGTTCCTCGTGAAGCCACCATCTCTGACCTACTGAGAAATTGAGCACAATTTTGTCTTATATTTGCTTGTCCTCTACCCCGCCAAGGATTCCCATTTGCCGAATAAATTTATTTCCCAAAAGTAATGGTAGAACTACATACAAATAATTAGTTAAGATCTTGTTAAACTAAGCAAACGAAAGATTTTTTAAATCTGTTCTATCCACTGAGCAGATCTCTCTTCAATCAATATTCATGACCATTCATATATTAAATCAAGCATACCACCCATTTTGACAAATCCAAAATGGATTTCAACATCCCAACAGATAAACTCAAAAAGCTAATAAGATCTATTTGATTTGGATTTAATAAGTTTAATAAATTGAGTTAAGCATCAATTATATGAACATTTATTTGGTACAATAATTACCAGTCTGCCAGCATGATGCAAGGGAAGAGTAAGGAAAAAAATGGTGCTAGTAACTTACTCTAGACCATTCCACTTGAAGGAAGTGATAAGAAAGTAGATTGACAAACAAGAAGCCAATGCCCCCATTGCCAAAGGAGTATCAAGAGTACTCTGATAGAAAATAAGAAAAAAAAATTCAGAAATAATACAATTATGAGAGTAGGAAGAAATTGCACGAATGCAAAGCAAATTGCACACTAATTTCTGTTTGGTCCAGAGATACACAAGTGGTGAATTATCATAACATTTATTAACATGAACACAATAGCCACCTGGAAGATAAATGTGGTTGTAATGACGCGCATGGCCCATTTCACAAATTGAGCTACGCCAACATCCACACTTCCATCTTCTGCAATAACAAATTTCCACACCATCCAACACCCCTAGGGCAGCTCCTGCAATGACAATCCTAAGTAGTACAAAAATAGAAACCTAAAACCAATCAAGGTAAATATTTTAAACAAATAAAGGAGGACATAGTTGAAAACTGAATCTGTAATAAATAAAAAAAGAAAAGCTAATTCTATGGTCTTGTAGTTATGAAGCCATTTGGTCTTGATTATGAATCATGTAATTACTTGTGAGGCCTTGTGGTGGTCAAACTTGGGGTCATTGGTTATGAGGCTTTGTGGCTACAAACATAAGTGGCCTACGTTACGAGGCTTTGTGGCATTTTTGGTTATGAACCAAATTGGTTATGAATCCTTGTGGCTGAAATTTTGAGCGCATGGCATATGCATCATGTTTCCTTTCCGAAAAATAATAAAAATGAGATTCAAGTCATAGTACAAA